ATCCTTCCTACTATCCTTCGCCGGGGATCCTTAGAGAAGCGGCTGCTTCCGGGACTGGGCCGAGAAATCTACAAGATGAACCTGGAGCATCTCGAAAGGTCAAAAAGTGAGAAAGTACTAAAAACTCAAAAACCACCCAAACAGAAACAATCCTTCAATGACGGGGGCATGCCAAGGAGACACAGGAGCCAAGCGAAAGATCACCTGGTGGTGAAAGCTGGAACAATTTGAACAAGAAAATAAATAAAATAGTAAGGTAGCATGGGATTATGATCCAAAATATAGAACAAATGTCCATGAGTTAGTACTAATATAAATAGACGTTGAATAAATGACTAAGCAGGAGAGGAGAGACAAGTGTCTTGTACAGAATTCTGAGTAATTTATTCACATAAACTGTTCTCAAGGAGATGGAGCGTAACTCCCGACTCTAAGAGTGGGCAAAGAGCACAGTATGGAAAAGGGAACAAGTGGGTAACAACAGTGGAGAAATCTGACAGACTCGGTCTTAAGCCAGGTGTTCAAGGTCAACATTAACAGTGGTGAGTCATACAGATCACATGGACCCTTGATACACTGTGATGAGAAGGGGGCTTTACCTCCATGGTCTTCCTCCTGCAACCTTAGCCTAACCACCACAAAAACATCAGACGAACCCATCTGAGGGACGTTCCACAAAATATCCAACTGGTACTCCTCACAAGTGTCAAGCTCATCAAAAACAAGGACACTTTTGCAGCAAGAGGTACATAAGGAGACATGACAACTAAACGTGTTTCAATGTCCTGGATGAGATCCTGGAACAAGAAGACATTAGGTGAATACTAAGGAAGTCTGAATAAAGTACGGGCTTTAGTTAATAACGATGTGTTGGCATTGGATCATTGACTAACGTACCATACTCATGTAAGGTGTTAGTAATAATGGAAATTAGACATGTGGTATATGGGAATTCTTTGCACTATCCTCGTAATATTTCTACAAACCTAAAACCATTCTAAAATTAGAAGTTAATTTTTAAAAACACAACATGAAAAGTTTCAAACAATGTCATTAGATTATTCTCGTAGAAATATATTCGCATTAAATGCCCGCCTTTTACTTTGAGATCATGCCCATTTTGGGGAGGAAGGGGAGCTGGGAGGATGACTTTTATTGACTGTTAAGGTTAGGTGCCGGCAGCCTTCCCTCTTGAAAGTTTTTATGATGACGATCTCTACATGACAGATGACAAGACTGAAGCTTGCAAAGGTCAAGTGCGAAGTTCAAGGCCCCCTTCCTGCTATGTGCGAAAACCTGTCGATTCTACATGCACTGTTGACTACAAGATCATTTGGATTAAAATAATCACCTCTTGGGGCCGGCTCGCTGGAGTGGCAGTTAAGTTCACGTGCTCTGCTTTGGTGGCCCAGAGTTTGCCAGCTTGGATCCTGGGCACAGACCTATGTACTGCTTAGCAAGCCATGCTGTGGCCGGGGTCCCAGGTATAAAATAGAGGAAGATGGACACAGACGTTAGCTCAGGGCTGATCTTCCTCAAAAAAAAAAATAATAATGATAATAAAATAATCATCTCTGATGAAAAGAGTGAGGAAGAAATTATTTAAAGAGAAAATAAAAATACTTCCTCCTCTTCAAACGTGTTTTGGCCTCTGCTGTGAAGCACGTCTCGCCCTCTTCCACCGCAGCAGGTAAGACTGGAAAATCACACGGCCAAGAGTCAATTACAGAGCGTGTGGAAACCGACTGTATGACCGTGCAGAACGGAACATTGTTTTTTATGTTCCGTCTGACTGAGTTCTTAAAAAATAGATTGAATACCTGGGAATGACAGTATAGAACAATTCCAGTAATTACTGCGTACAAGGTCTCCAAAATCTATGTGCGGGAGAGAAGGCTGCGTGAAGTGACACGCCTGAGCACATACACACGGGTTGTCAGAGACGACCATTCCCGGATGCTGCCGGGGGGAAGAAGCAAGATAAGCCCGCCACTTCTCGAGCCTACACCAGCATGGAAACCAGCAGCACATCTCGCTGTATTTCAGCACAGAGACATCTTGTGGTGTCTTCAGCTTCACCCACTGAGAAATGAACCAGCAGACTTGATGTTATCTGACTCCCAGCAAAGCAAATTTGCAGTTCCAAGTGCTGTGGGGAATTTGAATGTCCAGTGATATATGATAAGTGATTCAACCAGGGATAAGTTTTGGAATGTTAATTAGGTTCCCCCTGGAGACGGTTTATTAATACATGCTCTCGTCCACGGGACCAGGACTATAAATCAGAGTCTATCTAACTCGGTTTAAATTGTGCTACCGTGTCAGATCCTAGCTTTGTGCAGTTTCTAAATCTGCTGAGAAACTTCTTGAAAAATATACAGAAAATGAAGTTTCTACGGCAATGCAATTTGTTTTACCCCCAGAAAACTACAAAAAGCGTCCTGAGCAACCTCTTCCTTTATGCATTTCTCCTCCCAGCTTGGGGTTTTGACTCAGCCCAGTGCACGCGGGTGTGAGGTGTGGGCAAATCTGCCAGCTCAGTAAAGGAATCCAGGCGGCGCTTAGCAGAGAAAACAGACACATCTTTTACCTTAGAAAATAAATGACGGCTCATCCTAGAGTCCTACAGAGCTCCAAGTTTCAATTATTTAAGTCAGTGCACCTGTAACACCTCCCCCAACCCCCGCCACGACACCGTATTTCCTAATGTCAGAGAAGCACCAATGCCAAATTTATAGATTTAGTCCAGTTAAAGTGAAATAATTCTGTGGCTTCAGGCTCGACCATGGCCATCCGTCTCTCAACCCAGGACCGTGAGCCCAAAAGGAGACTGTGGCCAAAGCTGTGTGAATCCATTTCCAAATCTTGAGAGCCACATTCTCCTCAGAGCAGGATGAAAATGCAAAAGGGAGCGAGCTGGTGCCGTCTTTTAATCAATCCTGTTGACATTCAAGATCTCAGGGGGAGAGTTGTGCAATGTGACAGTGGGGTCTAGATTTGCAAGTACAAAACAAAGTTTTAGGTCCAAGGGTGCAAAACAATAAATTCCATCCGACAGCGCTGTCTGTTCTGATCAGCCTGCGCAGAGGGGAGGGGCAGAGCTGGGAGTTTTACCTCCTCTGCTCCCCTTTCTCCTCTAGGTGTCATATAAATTAGCCAGCAGAACAGCCTCCTTTCCCCAGGAATCATTTGTCTTCGGTGGTTTGTCCTGACTTGGGGTGGGGGTGAATTTATCTCTGCCTTACCACTCCTAGATGCTGCTGAGAAGTGAAATCCCAGCCATGGTGACCGGAGATGAGGATGAAGCTGAGGGACAAGCAGGACTTCAAAGTCCCACAGCATCACTGGTTTTCCATCTTTTGTCTTCCATTGACGGGGGAACCAATATTTTGCGGGAATTTTGGCTTAGCAAAATGACTCATCTTCCTTGGTGGCCCCCAGGATGGACCCTCAGAGGCCCTGGAGGGTCGAATCAGTGAAGATACATAAACTCAAGCGGGTGAATCACATTCTCGCCCTTCAGGAATTTGGAATGCGGAGTGGGAGATGAAGAGCTGGCCTTTGAGCCTCAGAGGAAATGACATACTAGCCGGAACCAGTGCCCAGGGAAAGAAAGAAGTTACTGTATGGAGAGAAGCAGGGAGGAGAAAGGTCCTTTTGGGGCTGGTTCTCGCCTTTTCCAGAGGCCTCGCCCTACTGTGTCCAGGCACTTGGGATCCATGAGACATGCCAAGTGCTCATGCTACATCCCCCTTTTTGCTGCCTCTGATGGGATCTGCTCCCCAAGACCCCTCCACGCTGTGCGTCTAAAGCAACCTTCTCTGGTTTGGGGCTTGGAATTGGCAAACACCAAGCACACAGCGTAAGAGTTAGGGGATCGTCTCCCAAAGCAAGTTCATGGACTGTTGTCCCGAAGAGGGAAGATGAATGAAGGCAGCGCCACCCACAGAGAGCTCGAAGGGGCTTGGGAGCCAGGAGGGTCCCTGGTGGCTCTTTCACCCTGTGCCAATCCCACCAGCCTGGTCGTGGTTCAGGGTCTTGGTAGATGCCAGAAAACTGTGGGCAGACCGTGCTTTAGACAGGCAGGAATGTGACCCAGGAGCAGTGTGTCCACCTGCCCTCCATGCCCTCCCTCAGCCACTACCTCAACCACCACCACCACCACCCACACCATGTTCTCTGCAGAACCCACTCCTCTTAGCCAGCAAACGTCCTCTCCTTCGATAAGCAGTATTGAGTGTCTACCACAGCGCCGTCCTGTGCCCTCACTCAGATGTTGGTGATAATTAGCATCATCCTGTTCAGCTGCTTTTGTACGCTTGCTGACTGTTGGCCACTGTTCAAAGTCTTTCTATGTATTAACTCATTTGATCCTCAGCATCCTATGGAGTGGTAACTGTCGCTACGCCCCATTTTACAGAGGAAAAAACTGTGGGCCGGAGGCTTGCAGTGATTGGCCCAACACCTGGCGGAAAACAAGAGACAAGACAAGTAAGCATAAAGACACTGAGCAGGAATGGCTGGTTTTAAAAATAACCCATTCAACCTGGTGGAAAGTTTCATGGCAAAGACCCAAATCTTGTCCTGGACTCGGAACTGCCCAAGCGTGCATCTCTGCCCACGCCAGGCTCTAGAGTCACTAAGCAAGGTTTGGATCCAGAACACAAAATAATCGCCAAGCATCACGTAAACATCTGGGTTTGGCATAAACTGCAGGATAAGCCAACTGTGTCTGCCATCACGCTGAAAAGATTATGTTGCCTTTTCCCTGGCAACCTGGGCTGAAATTGCTGCTGAAGTTTTAACAACTTCAGCTCCAAAAAAAATAGACGTGAAGAACGTCCTTGTGCTCCTTATGGTTATTCTGCTGCACGATGGCAGACAGAGGAAGAGGGAACAGGGAGCTCTTTCGAGTTCTCGTCCTTATTGGGCCAATTAATATCATTGATCTGCACCCAAAATGATCATCCTTTTGTTCATTTATTCACTCCATCCACCAGGCACTTATTGAGTTTCTACGGTATACAAGGCAGTGCTCCAGATTTTTCCGAGAATACAACGGTGACTCAGGCTTGCGTTGAAACCCCATTCTCAAGAAGATCACGGTTCAGTGGGAGGAAACACAGCACCTGCCTTGTTTCAGAACACAGGAACAAACAGAACATGAGGTGGGCAGAGCCGCGACGTGAGAAATGGAGGGAACGCTTCTGGAATGTGGGGAGCACTGCTTCGCCTGGGAGTGAGGTTGGTGTGGGCCACGCAGGAGCAGATGGGATGGGTGGATCTAAATGTGGGGATGGCAGGAGCAACGGCTAATGGATAAGGAAGAATGGGGCATGTTCAGAGGAATGAGGTGTATTTCCGTTTCCATGGGATCGTAAAACATGTGAAAGGAGAAGTCTTAATTAGTTCCTAGAAGCCTTGACTATCAGGCTAAGGAGGTTAGATTTTATTCAGTAAGCTTAAAACTTTTCTGACTTTTTGTGACAATAATCTGAGTGTTTCCTCAGGCTAATGAATTATATGATTGTTTAGTAGCTGACTATAGTAAAATGGCTAGGAGAACAACGTCCAGCCAGAAGTCTGTCCCATAGGCTAGGAGGACTAGCCCAGACTTTTGCTTCATCGCAGTTGCTTAAGCAAGGAAGGTGGTTTTGACTTATCTAATTGGGAATGCTAAGAAACAGGGCTCACTTCAGGCATGGTTGAATCCAGGAGCTCAAACACTGTGCAGGCATTGGTCTCTCCCTCTCTTGGTCCCGCTTCCCTCTCTGTTGGCTTCACTCTGTAGTAGATAGTTTCCAAATGGAAGCAAAGATGGGCCTTGCTGCTCTGGGCTTCCATGCAGCTCAGTGCTGACAGTGCAGGAAGCGGTGATGTTTCTCTTTCCCAGGATCTATATCAATCCCCTAAGTGACCTGCTTAGATGGGATCAACCCTGTTTACTACGTGTCCATCCCTGGACCAGTCACTGTGTCCAAAGGGTGGGGGTGCTTTGATTGGCTGGTGGAGGGTGGGATGACCCTGATGGTAGAAGCAAGTCCCCAGAGGAATTACATGAAACCAGCAAGAGACAATTCCCCCAGCGCTGTAGTTAGAGGCCAGCACCCAGCCGCCAAGTTCCCACTCTTCTAGGCTAATCTCTCCATTCTGCTCATTCCTGTAGCACTTGTGAAATCCTGGATTTTCTGCATGTCCTATTTCATGATGGTTAACCACCTGTCCATGAGTTTTCCCAAGCAGATTGCGAGGTCCCTGAGGGCAGCACATTTCCTTGTTGATCTCTTGTCTCTAACCCAGCTGAGTGCCCGCACCATATCGGGTAAAATGCATGTTCTTACTGAAAGTCAGGAGGGATTGAGGGCAGGAGCCCTGGAATAAACTAGCAAGGAGGAATACAAAAGATAGATTGTCTGTTCTAGAAAATTCTAATCTGAAATTCTAATATTTGAGGAGTTCCCTCAGGCATCAAGAACACTCCCAGAAAGTTGGAGATAACCATATGAAGGAGACAACTGGATCTCTCAGCAAGAAGCTGTGGAGCCTCAGAAGCTCTGCTTTAGACGGGCACCGACGCAGGAAAAATGGGAGCCTTGGAGTGATTTCTGCCCAACGCAGCTTCAGTGATCCACGTGGCCTAGGGGGAGCGGCCCAGGACAAAAGCTTACCTGGGGCTCTTTCTGTGAGTCCTGCTGTGGACCCTCCAAGACATCCAGAGATGAGGGCTTTCCAGTCCCTGACTCAGTCTCATTAAAATAAGTATCCAGATCTATCAAATGGTGAAAGGACTTATTGCTTTAAATGCCGTTATCTAAGTTTTTTTTTTTTTAGCTCTATTTAAACCTCCTGGCAAAATATGACTTTTTATATGTCTTTATTCCTATCTCAGCAACAAATCTGTTTTAATGAACATTTTCATCTTAGAGCAGTTTTAAATTTGCAGAAAAATTAGGAAGATAGTACAGAAAGTTCTCACATCCTCCAAGCAGTCTCCCCCATTATTAACATCCTGTATTAAATATGGCGTGTTCGTCACAAACCAGAATCAATACTGGGAAATTATTATTAACTGGTCTTTACATTTTTAGATTTCCTTCTTTGTTACTTAATGCTCTGTTTTCTGTCCCAGCGTGCCATCCAGGACACACATCACATTTAGATGTTGTATTTGTCTGCTCCGGCCGCCATAACAAAATACTGCAGGCTGGGGGGCTGAGCCACAAACATTTATTTCTCACAGACCCAGAGGCTGGAAGTCCGAGATCAAGGTCCTGCAGGGCTGGCTTCTGGCGAGTGTTTGCTTCCCGGTTTGCAGATGGCCACCTTCTCGCTGTGTTCTCACGCGTTAGCGGAAGCCAGCTCTCTGATGTCTCTTCTCACAAGGATATGAATCCTGTCCCATCAGGGCCCCACCCTTGGGATCTTGCTTAACCTTCGTTACTTCCATAAAGGCCTCATCTCCAGATGCAGTCCCATTGGGGTTAGGGCTTCAGCCGCCGGTTCTTGGGGAAACAGGATTCAATCTCTAGCCGATGTCGTATCTCATGAGGCTCCTCCTGGCCAGGAGAATGTTCGGACTTTCCTTGTTTTTGGTGACCTTGAAAATTTTGAGGAGGACTGATCAGGTTTTTTGTAGAATGTCTCTCAATTGGGATTTGTTTGAAAAACCATGTTTTTCTCATGGTTAGACTGGGGTCCTGGGTTTCGGGGAGGAAGGTCACAGAGGCAACGGCGCCATTTTCATCGTCTCTTATCAAGAGTACATACTATCAACGTGACTTATTGTGCTGTTGACCTTGATCGCCTGGCTGAGGTCGTGTCTGTCAGATTCCCGCATTGTAAAGTTATTTTTTTCCCTCTTTACATTCTGTAGTCTCTGGGAAAAAGTAACTACTTGCAGCCCGCACATAAGGAGTAGGGAGTATGCTCCACTTCCTGAAAAGGGGAGAGGCTACACAAACTATCTGGGATTCTTCTGCATGAGAGATATGTCTATTCTTATTTGTTCATTCATTCATTCAACATTTTTTATTGGAGAATGGTTTTAGAAACCAAGAGCTAGTCCTCTTGCTCGTTGTTACTGGGTATCATTGTCACTTGACAGAGCAAGGGAATACACGCGTGTATACTAGCCCTGTATACACACATATCTATAAATAATTCTATAGGTAACCATCTTTATTTATATTACTCTAAACATGAATTCATGCTGACGTCTCCAACTGGCCTCTTCCGCTTGCTGGTCTGTAAACTTCCACTCTGACAGCGAGAAAGCAGATTCCCACTGTCCACCATCTCTTTACTTGTTTGACTCCAGTACACACGTACAGCAGTCTCAGAATGATAAATTTTGAGGGACACAATTCAACTCCTAACAGGCAGCATCCTTGGCATCCACTGGTAACAACTGGGTTGGTGGGGGAGACATTTAGATGTGGATCCAGACAGGACAAGCTACATAATTTATGGACTCATGGCAAAACAAAAATAAGGGGCCCTTTGTCTGAAGCTCATTAAGAATTTCAAGATGGTACCAGCAAAGCAGTAAGTCAAGAGCAGGGTCCCTCTAAGTGTGGACCCCTGTGTGGCTGCCCAGGACGCATGCCGGGATCTGGAGGAGAAGCAGGGAAATGAGCACTATAAAGAAAAATGCAAAAGGAGGAGGGAAAGTGAGGACAAATTCCAAATTTACCAATTACTCAATACTCACTTAACTTCTCCTTAACGACTATTACAAACATAGCAACAGAGAGTATCTTCAAATGCATTGTATAAAGTTTTAATTGTGAGTTGAGTGTGGGTACATAAATATTTGCTGTAGTGTTCTTCACACTCTTTGTTTATGCCTTACGTGTTTCAGAACATATGCACAAATGATGTTTTACTACGTATAGCTCTCACTCACTTTTTCGTGCTTTATCTCGTTGGGCAATTTCTCAGTCCCCTGGAGGAGCCCGTCTCAGTGGATACATGTGTTCCTGTCATTGTTGATCACTATTTCCACACTTGGCCCTGGAAGTTCCCCTCTTTGAAGTGTGTGTGTGTGTCTTGCTTCTTTCATCTCAGCCACACGCTTTCTCAGATACCTTAAAATCAATAAAGCATATGCATTATTCACTCTGTCCCCGCACAGGAGCACCCACCCAGGGCTCTCACTCACCCCAGGGCTGTGGAGAACTGTGTAGTTCTATTTTGTGGGGGGTAATGTTCAGCACTCGGGCAGATTACTTCCTCCCTCAGGAACTTGGATAAGTAACATAGACTGAGATGCTCACTCTATGAGCTGAACCACAACGCCAAGAAAAAAGCAAAACTCTAGTTACCAAGAAACGGACCGAGCAGAGTGAAGAAAGCCCCTGTGTGTTCTCCATTCCTGGGATGCAGGGCACATTTTTCTTCATAGTCAGCTGTTCATTAGTGTCAACCCCCCAGCAACTGTCAGTAACTGATAATGAGGAAAATTGGAGCCACATTTGGGTTATGTATGGTGTTTAAATTAATTCCATCAGACATCAATGTACGCGAGTGGCCTCTCTTCTCTAATTGATAGTTGTACACCAGTTAACTTACTTCTCAGGGTCATTCTCAAATTCCATCCATGTTCCTGTCACATCTCTAGGGACTAGAACTCATTGCAGATTTGATAGTCACACTCTTGTGTCTCCTGGAACTCTCAGGCAGCTGTTCCACCAAGGATAGATGGGGTGTACGATTCTTCAGCAGCTTTGATACTAAGCGTTGGTGACTCAGACATGCGTCCCTCCTTCCAGAGCTGTCCTCCGCGTCCCCATGGGTTCAGCCAGTTATTCTTGGATTTCCCATGATCATCTCATGTTCACCATGTCAAAAGCTGAACTCCTCATCTTCCCAAGCACACTCTTCCTGCTCTCTCTCAGTTGGTGAAGGACCCAACCCTCTCCAGGCTAACCACCGTCAGAAACATCCTTGCTCCAACCCTCCAACCTCCCCCCCCCATCAATGACCAAGTTCTGTCAGCTCTGGCTCCTCTCTGCTCTTCCAGTGTCTTCCCATCTGCCGGGTCCACACCATTGCTCCTTGGCAGTATGTTCTCACCTCCTAGCTGCACCATCTGATCCTCACCAGTCCTTTCTCAGCGCAGAAGTCAGAAAACTTCAGAAATATAATCTCATACCCCTGCTTAAATGCCTCTAGGCAGCATGTTGATTTCTTACAAAGTTGAAAATGCATCTACCAAAGGATCCAGCCCTTCCAGTCCTAGAGTTCTCACCCAACAGGGAAAAAGCACACGGGCCCATACAAAGGCTTATACACACGTGTTCCTAGCAGCCTTATTCGTGGTAGCCCCAAAACAAAAAGAATCCATGTGTCCACCAAAGGGTGAACGGACAAAAAGCTGGGGCATGTCCACACTATGGAATACTGCTCAGCAATGCAAAGGGGTGAACGAGCACCGCGTATGGAGGAATCTGGATTATTGTGTTGAGACTGTCACAGAAGAGTGTATAAATGCCATGTTCGAAGTTCTAGAAAAAATAAATATGATCTATAGAGACAGAAGCAGATGAGCAGTTGCCTGGGAGGGGAAGGGTGAAACTGAGTGGGATGGGGCACTTCTTAGGGCAATGGAAATGCCTTGGGTGTGATGGTGGTGATGGTTACACAGGTGTGCACATTTGTCAAAATTTAGTGAAGTGTACAATTAAAATGGATGTCTTTTATTGAATGTGAAAAAAGCAAACAACCTCTAGGGCTCCCCATTCCTCTTAAAATAAAATTCTTTAATAAGCTTGCATGGCTCCACTACCTGGTCCCTGCCCTGATACCTAGGTGCTTCCCTTGTGTCTCCTCATTTTCTTCCTAGCACAGAAAATCCCCAGAACACCCCTGGCTTTCCCTCACTGCCTTTGCTCAGGTTACCCTCTGCCTGGACAATTTTCTGCTGAGATTTCCCATCCTCCGGGAAGCTGCCTCTCACCCGAGCCCCCGAGACTGAGCGAGGTGCTTCTGTGGCACCAAATCCTTCCCTCGCTCCATAGGCAGCAGTTCTGGATGGCTGCCTGATGGACAGGAGCCCTGAGAGCGTGGGGCCGTGTCCTTCTCATGGTTGTGTCTCTAGAGCCTAGCACAGTGCGTGACCCCGTGTCATGGTCAACGGTTACTTGTTCAAAGAATGAGTCAACGCAGTGATGCAGTGTCTGTGAGTTCATTAGCTGAAGGGTAAGCTACGCCTACATTCTCTTGACCTCAGCCCTGCTCCAGGCCCTTGTAGCCTTCCTGACCCAGTGACTGTTACTCTGAAGGCTGCCTTGGTGCCTTGCTGGGAGTTCTGATCTTGAGACATCAGCGTGCCCCACCCCATTCTCTGAAAACGCATCTCAAACACCATCCCGCTCAAGCTCTTGGTTTACTTTCACTTTAGCCTCCTTGTGTGGAACCAACACGCTGATTGGCCTTGTGACTTACACAGGCCACCCTACTCCCTGGTGAGTGTCCCATAGAGACTTCCATCTGCTCAGGGAGATTCTGCCAACCCCAGAAACTCAGAGCATGTGGTGGCACACAGGACAGGGGCTTTCTGGGAGGAAAATAAGAAATAATTGCATTTGGCAAGATCTGTGGAGGATGCAACGCAGAGCAGTCCACCCTCACTGTTCTCGGCAGCTCACGAGGGTCGGGAGTCCCTGGTCAAGCATCCCGGGGGGATTCCCAGCAGGTGAGACAGAACAGCACATCTCTAGTCAGGCCCTATCATGCACGACAAATGTGGCCAACAATGCCTG